CGTCCATTGGTAAATTGTCTACGTAGTTTTAAATATAGATTATCTAGAAAATCATTAGAGCAAACGTACAAGTCATATATATTACCAACGTTCGATTACTGTTCGCACCTTTGGGATAACTGCACTAAAGAACAAGAAAAACTTGTCGAAAATCTACATTTAGACGCACTGCGGACGATTTGAGGGGCAGTTAGAGGAACAAGTCATGATTTAATATACAAGGAAACTAACTCTATGCCCCTAGTTGACCGTAGACAAATTAGCAAGTTATCATTACTTTACAAAATGGTTCATCATTTGACACCTTTTTATAACTGATCTACTGCCCGAAAGTTAAGTGACCATAGATTAAGAAACAGTAATAACATTCAAACTATAAGATGTCGTAGTGATTTGTATAGCAACTCGTTTTTACCTGATACAATACGACAATGGAATGATTTGCCTGCGAATATGTACGGTATTGAAACCCTAGGCCAATTCAAAAATGCATTCCAAACATCAAAACCACCCAATTTTAATATATTTGATAAAAACTTTGGTACACGTTTCTGCCAAATTATCCACTCACGCTTCAGACTTGGGTGCAGTAACTTGAAAGCGCACATGTTTGAACGGCACATTTCACTTGATCCAGTCTGTTCCTGTGGTCACCCCTATGAGGATACTTTACATTACTTCTTAACTTGTCCTAATTATTCTAACATCAGACATCGCATTTTTACGAACATGGATATAATTTAAATTCTGTCCTAAATGGTAATCCAAACAAAAATGTACTTGTAAATTCTTTCATACTACAATCTGTCCATACTTTTATAATAAAATCGCATAGGTTTGATAACTGATTAATAATGTTTAATACGCAGGTTGCCTGCTTTCCTATCATGCTGCATATTAATTAATATTTGTTTTATTCATGTATCAATGAAATGGAGAGGTATTCAAATAAGCCTTTACGGCTTGTTTACCAATCCTAGTTCAATTTATTTTGAATAAAATATGTTTACACTAAGTCAGTTCACAAATTCAATATCGTGTGTGTCCACCATTGGCGTTGATGCAGGCTTGAAAACGACGACGCTTAGATGACACTAAGCGATTGAGGAGAAGGTTGTACCATGTCTCAACCAACGCTTGTCCCAATTCAGGTAACGCCAATGTCTGATTCTAGTCTTGACGTAAACGTCTCTCCATTTCATGAAAAGCATGCTCGATCAGGGACAGGCCCGGAGAAACACCTGGCCAGGGGAGTACAGGAATGTTCTGCTATCTCAGGAAATCTGTCACAACACGAGCTACATGTGGACGGGCCTAATCTTGCTGAAGCGTGAAGCTACGTCTCTGTCCTTAAATGAACAGTTGCACATGAGGTCCAATGATCTCATCCCCGTATCGCAGACCTGTCAGATTGCCATTGACAATGACAAGTTGTGTTCGATCATGAGATGTGATGCTTTCCCATACCACAACGTTCCGCCAAATTCTGATGATTATATACTCATGCCAATAATGGTTGTCACCCCCCTCCCCACCCCAACCCCACACACACTCACACCCCCACCCCCATCCAATTAAAACAATTGAAGGGATGACAACCATTATTGGCATGAGTATATATTCGATGTCTGAATGTGGTATCTTTAAATATACAATCACCATATAAATTCAAGTTTTATTGTTTCCACCAAATAACATACAAAGATATAACATATGTAACAAGGAAATAGTAAGTTCAGTAACACATTTCACATATGTAACTATTTAAATAATCAGCACTGTCATTAAGGTCCGCTTTCTTCAGCGAGTGTCCAATGAATCTTCACACATCCTTGCAGTTACTCAGTAGGACGATGTACGTTAGACTTAGAATTTGTATTCAGTTCTCAAAATGTCAATCAAAGGTCAAGACATCTAACTGCAGGATGCTTTTTGGTTTTGAGGTCATTATTTGGTGTCACATGACTGCCCGTTGAAGCGTCGGCTTGGGGGAGACGTCCTGTATGAAAAATATTGGAAGCGTCGAGGCCGTCCTGTACTACGGATTACAACCTGGTTCGTCTAATTTTTAGGCCCTGACTATACCTGGATTGTCTAACCACGCATGAGTGATTTCCCCATGGGTCAGTGTGAGCCGTGAAGTCACGGACCCGTAGAATCTGTTTAGGAGAGGCTACTGGAGATCTTGGGGGTCTCAAGATGCTTAGCAGGGGCGCGGTGGGCGAGCTGGCTAAGGCGCCAGGCTACTGATCCAGCGAGGTTGAAGTGCCGGCATCAAGCCCACCTGTGACCGGGTGTAAAAACCTTGGTGTCAACTTTGTGTGCAGACTCTTTCCGTGTTGCCACAACCCCTAGTGTACAGTACACAACCCTGTGCACTTAAAAGAACCCACGAATCCGTTGGTATATGACCAGATGGTGGCCACATGAATACGTGTAAACAAGAATCTACGCAAGCTGCCACAGACACAAGCTGACTTTCAACTGGAGAGAGACAGGACAACTACAGATGCAGGGGACCGGTTCCTGATAGCTGACCAAGGGGATAACAACCGAATTTTGATATTTTCCACAACATCCAACCTAGAACATCTCTGTGATGTGATGGCCTGGATGCCACCCGAATATATTTGATTTCATTCAGCTCATCAAGAGGGAACAGTCTACAACTGTCGTGAAACTTGCACACCGTTTGAAAAGGATTGGTCCACATGCCTACTTCGTCTAACGAGCAAAGTCACTCAACCCTGACTATGCCTGGGTCGTCTAATTGCTACTGTTTACCTGTTTTAAAAATTAGACGAAACAGGTTGATACCGTACTACGCTTGGCTCTACGACATCATCAAGGAAGTTCTATAATGCTTCGGAATCCGGAGCCAAATCAAAGGGCTCATTAAACTCGCAGTTCTCTGCAACAGGTGAAATTAGCATATTACAAACAGAGTCATTGTAAATATGCATTTTAATCATCACATCTTTATCAAATGGAGGGGATGAGTTTAACGCTGACTTTTACAGCATTGCAGCTATATCTTCACGTGTCAGAATCATCGGGTAGAAGGCGCTAAGTGATTCAGATCACAGACCTGTACCACATATTAACTGGAACCATAAGCGAAGCCAACTGGGATGAAACACTACATAGCGAATTGCTGCGACTTAAACTGAATCTCCGTGCCCTTTTCGGTATCACAAGGATGATGTTACGATACTGAGAGCCCGTTATCGCTTTAAAGTAAACATAGCGAGTGAGTAACACACCTTTATATGAGTTCGAACATGTCATCTGTTGCAAAGGTTTCTGGCGCGGAATCGTGTTCTGTCAAAGCCATCAACCATGACCCGTATGTGGCGGGCGATGCAATGAACAGAGCAGGCTAGTTCTGATGTTGTGGGTTGTCCAAATCCGGGAACCTGGACACATCCAGATCGTATTCAATATTGGTGACAATTGTGAGAGGTTCAAAAACTTCGCGAGAGACACCCATTGCTTCTTTAAGGTGTAGGTACCTGTAATATTTGAGGCACAGCACCAGCCGAATATAAACATACTACATCGACGTTGTATAGTCAGTTCAACCAATGACATTTGTGCCAATGAAGACGTCTATGAGAGTATGATTCAGTCACAAGCTGACATGATCTGCTCGCGGTGTCGCGACGGTACTAATTACCAGATGAGTGATAGCTTTGATAGTGCTGATTGCGCCATTGACACCGTACCGCCTACCTAATTGAGTCAACTGTCAGAGGCTCTTCTCGCACCTGATATTGTTCCAGCAATAATCGCATCACCAACGAAAGCGTGGACCGCAATCACAACACGCGCTGTGATATCTTAATTATGCCCTAATTAGCTATGGGTCAGTACTTCATTGTTATTTCAACGGCTCTGGATGCATTTTACATTAAGCATAACCGGTGCAGTCGGTAGAGTATGGCTTAAGTGTACACTTACTCCACAAATGTTTTCAGAAAGAGTGACCGATTTGTAGAATCTCTTTTACTACGTACAAGCTAAATGCTAAATCATTGCTTTTGGTATGCATATCAATACTTGTAGTAGTCCGAATATATTTGTACAAGACAACTTTATTGTCAAATGGCTTTGTGTAATCTATTGTCACAACCGCTTCATAAAAATGGATATACACAAACTGTGCAGAAATATTTCAAAATGGAAAAGGGGATATAGGCATAACGGCATGACACATGTTCCTGGCACCTCAATACAACTGTATATCGCCCTTACATTGAGATACATTGGACACTGGTGACGTAGTAGTAGGGATGGCTAAGCCCAGTGGTTAAAGCGTCCGCTCGTCACGCCGAAGACCCGGGTTCGATTCCCCACATTGTGTGAAGACCGGTTCTGGTGTCTCCCGCCGTGATATTGCTGGAATATTGGTAAAAGCGGCTTAAAGCCACACTCACTCACTACTAGTATTGGTAGTGGTCACTAATGACCACACAAGCCCTCAGAGATATAGCATTAGCTGGATTCCTGTTAATCGCTCAACTGGAACCTCCAGGAAAACAGATTCTTCTCTACTCTCTGTTGCTCGCTTACGGTGAAATTCAATGTTGAAATTCGTTTTTGTCTACAATTTCACCCGTCTAATACGGCGATATGTGTCTGTCCCAATGAGTCCAAGTGTATTATTTTCTGCAAACTAGCAGAAAGTTATTTAGATAGTCTTATGCCACGAAATGCCGTTTGCGCCATGAATGAATGAATGAATGAGGCAAAGTATATATACTGAGTGTAACATCTTGTTTTCATGTTTTCTTTGTTACACTCAGTATATATACTTTGCCTCCACGTCATGTTACATTTCTGCTTGACAACGGTACAAGAATCTGTATCGAAACGTCGTACGCTCGTAATGTACATCGAAACGTCGTACGCTCGTAATGTACATCGAAACGTCCTACGCTCGTAATGTACATCGAAACGTAATAAAAAAGTTGCTACTCCTAAATTTTCCACTTTCCAGGTTCCAGAGTCCCACTCAAAGAAGTTATTCAGATCGTAGTTTGGTAGTAATGGGGACGCTATCTCTCTGTCTGTGCACACATATTAAAGACATACACATATATAAAGTTAGATTCATTAACACATACGAATGATACAGTTATGTACACTATACCTTGCTTAAAGAAGGAAATTCTGATTAGTATGGAAATAATTACCATATGATTACTCGTGTCTGTAACTATGTGTGTATGTTGTATAGATGTGCGTCGTTGTTTAAACGACTAGTTAATTATTACTACACTAAAAGTACTGTTTTCACCTCAGTCAAAATAGTTGCCGATCTACTCTTAGGCATAAACAGATCAAAGCAAAAAAGTCGGTATAAAAATTCTTTCCCCTCAATTAACCATGTACCAAATGGCTCTGGACAAATTAGGCTGTATGCAAATGTCACAAGGCAACGCGTTCACTATGATGAGATAATTTTCGTCTTATTGATGTATATCACTTAATTAAGAGCAGTTCCAGATGTACCCTCAGTCAATCCATAATAGATTACCACCGACAGGGACGGCAGCCATCTACTTCAGTTGTGACGACACCGCTTCGAGAGATAACACTCTCTGATGAGCTGCCCCTGGGGTGTTTTTACAACACCTATTGTCTGTGTCCATTGAAATCCAGCGAAGCAAGGAAAGTATCTATCTGGTTTACTTCCTTATCTGTCACAATAAACATGAAAGGTGAGTTGACTTAATTAACTCTAACCCAGGATGTACAGAGTATTAGGAACAGCAATCACTCTAGGCAGCAGATTGGCTTAATAACAGGATTACCTGAACACTTATAATGCAGTGGACGAGACAGACAGGACACATTTAATTTCTGCCTTCATTGGAAACTGGTGACTTTTCATTCGCATGTGTTGCCATTCGTATCATTATGGATATACCATCTCATCTCAGCCAACCCTTGAGTATCGACACCAATATTTCATACTCACTGGACCTTAGTAAGTTTCCGGGTTTAGAAGACCCACAACATAAGAACCAACCGGCCCTTTTAATCGCATCGTGTCCTGTTGCTTCGTCTGTCACATCTTCTGTGCTATTAGAAGCCGAGGGAACAGGAGATGTGATCCCAAGTCCGACGCTGGATAACACAGCGGATGATATATTGCAAGATTTGCTGTCAATCATTGGTAAGTATCCAGTTTGGATGTTCAGTTTGATTATTAATACTCTGCGAGGGTGAAGACGAAATGTTCTGGTAACAATATACAGCTTTCCATAATCACATACCCAGTGCGTCACTGTACTTCCACTGTCAAGACGGGGTCATATATCATCATTATTACCGTAATATGAACGCAAAGGGGAAACCGCTCTCGGTGCATATTCCCTTTACGCTGTAGCCGTAAAATAATGTGTTACACTCTTCTTTCAGAAAAGCACGAGCCAGAGTACAAGGCCAACATAACAGACTGCAATTACGACAAAATGACACGGGAGACTTCACCCCCCAACAACCATCAAGTACGACGAACACAGCCTCACAGGTCACAACCAGATCCTCCCTGCTTGACAAGTCGACCCAAGTCTCAAGCTCGGTACCAACACTCTACAGTATTCCACTCAGAACAAGGCAGTGTAGAACAGAAGTGTCTGTCTAAATACGCACTGGACGCAATATATCAAAACCTCATTTATCCAGAAGTCAACCGAGGCCACGGGTTTACGTTAGACACTCTTGTTCAAAGTGTACGTCGGGATGTGCAAGGTGACCGTGTCCAGACCTCCAGTAGTGGTCAGTTAGTGTTTGGAGACTACATCACAAGACTGAAATCAGTTACAGGATGTGTAGGTAAAGATGTGTCGCCAGGACAAAATACCAGAAATCAAAGGCCAGTGAAGAGGAAACGTTCACATGATGTGTCATGTGACCACGATACCCCCAAAAGATCGAGATGTGATGGACAGTCAAATGACGTCAGGGTTTATTGTGCACCGGTGCAACCTTCGTTTCTGAACAATGGGGGTTTTCTGGTAAACAGAAGGGTCCGGGAACTCATGTGTTCAATGTGACGAAGTCGCATTCATCCATAATGAATTAAATGTGATTATTTATATACCCGAGTGGTAAATGTTATTAACTTAACCACGTTGTTTTTGTTATGCAAATAAAACTATAAACACATTAGAAAATGCACAGATATATATCTGTACTTTTGTTATTTTTACCCCAAACGATACAAATAAAACCCGTACGCCACAGGGAGAAAGAAGTTAATAAAACTGTCGTTTTTCTTTGTATCTAGAGCAATGCCTGTAACTACAAATACTCTTTTCAAGTGGTCTGTCATATATACATCATAAGGTCCTGTGAAGCTGAGTCCATGATGCGCAAAATTTTGACAGTTCTGAAACTCTTCGCTCTATTGACAAGGTAATCACGCGACATACAGACAACAGGCGGTGACAGGACGGGAAAACCACATTTCAAAAATGACTATTGCCGGGATTCACTAAGCATGTTTTGACAGCATAGCCGGGAGAGCCACATTCCATGTTCACTCAACCGTAACTATTGCCGAGAGAGCCACATCAATTTAGGCTATGTGTTTCAGAAATGTGGCTCTCCCGGCCTGTAACCCAACAGGCATGGTAGGGTTATCCAGGCGAGGTCATCCCAAGTGTCAATATTACAAAGTGTATCACCAAAGGTATGAAAATATCTCTTCAGATTTGGTGTTGACAAAGAAGCGTCTGTAAAATGGCAAATATTTTAACTGTTAACTGTTGTGAGATTAAATTTCTCTTGGACCTCAAATAGAAGAATCATAGGATGATAAATTGAGATTCAAGTTTTCACGCAAATGTCTACATCTTTGTAAGCGTAAGTGTAATGCATATGTAAGACCTGGTGAATAACTACCGTTATGCAATAATTGTGTCTCATGGAAAATGGGTGGTCAAGTGCGGCTATTGCACTTTTTATGAATAGACAACTTATTTGCTGCATTAGTAGTTGCGACGTTTCGGTGTAGATCCTAACACCAGCAAATGATGATGTGTGTTAGGATCTACACCGAAACGTCGCAACTACTACTGCAACAAAGAAGTTGTCCATCCATAAAAAGTGTTCCACTTCATCATACCAGCTTCTAAATGCCACTTAAGGAAGTACTCCAGTTAAAGATGACACAACACAAAAAGACAGTAATAATATTATTATAACATTAAGGCTTGATTACAGGTTATGATGGCTTGTTGTATCATTGACAGTGCAGGTAGACAGGGCGATAGTTTGGGGGTCCCACGGTCCCTCTTGCCACTGTCATGTGACAACATAGCCCCAGGGGATTGGCTGAAAAACTGTTGTTATTGGAACCCATGGCACCAGTGCATTGATCCCCCAAACCCTATGATATAGTTAGTAAAGGGCAGGGTATTGGGTTACTTGTGCAAGGGACTGGGGCAAAATATCTAGCCCTTACACATAACATCCTTACCTAAGTAAATATAAATTGAGACTGTGTAACTTTTGTTTTCTTAACATTAACCATTAATCGCCAATATGAACACCATCTGGACACAAGTCTAGCATACACTGAAAACTGCTATAAGAGCTATATCACCAGCAAGCAATAAATGGCTAAGCATAGTATTATCCCAAATATACCAAAATATAGATAATTTCACAAACAAAATCATGAATACAAACAGCAAAAAGCGTAGGCGACATCACCTAACCCTGATGGACATGGATAACCCGATAAAGCATGGAATATACCAGTAGAACTGTCATTGATGTAAAACAGGACGTGCTGTTGTCATACATACACTGGATAGCATAAACAAAATTGTTTTTCAATACCTAACATGCTGTGTTTATACCAAAAACGATTGACATCACCAAATACTTTCATAATATCAGTTAAACGTACAAAAGTAGACTGTTTGGAAGCTTCTAAGCTACTTCTGATTCAAAAAGAAATGTTTTGAGTGCTTCTATTTGCACGAAAATATTCTGTTCAACGTTAAAACATTATTACATTCAACCCATTTACTAAAGCATGCATTCAAAATGTCAGATTAAATCTTTCGTGGGCCTGAAAGAAGGAAAGCTTACTAATGAGACTTGTACATTTTTAAAATAAATAAAGGTTTGTTCAAATCAGTCAGATTTGTAAAGGTGCAATTTAATGACATACAAAAATTGGAAAGAGTTTTTTTTTAATTTTTATAAAATGGACATGATATTAAAATATGTAATTCATCTTCAGTAATTTTGTTATTACACTGTTTAAAATATTGTGGTCACATTCTTTTATATATACCGAGAAACAGAATGGGTTATGATCAGCTTTCTTTATAGAATTTATAACATTACTGCACCAAACATCAAGGCAAATACTGTTTTCAAAGACAAATGTAAATAGTCTAAACTCTTCTTCAATTACTCAGCAGACTGCCTTTATACTAAATTGGTATCGGTGTCTACATTGGTTTCTCGATTTTCTTACTGTTTTGCGCAGGGATTATATTAATTACATACATTCTAAATTATTTACGTCTACATATAAGTTAAACAGTATGTATCTCTCTATCGTCGGACGTCTGAGGTTTGTAATGACGAAAGTAGATACGAGCTCTGCAGGATGACAGGTGTATTCCACGTGCTCTTTGAAGCGGAGGAGTTAATCCGGTTACGTCCGAGTAACCAAATTTGGAACCGTCATGTTTTGTCTTTTTCCTTACAAGACGGTAGCCACAGTGTTTGACCTGACGTATTTTTCGAAGTGAAACGTTGACTTGCACCTGCATGTGTTTGTGACGAGCGTCACGCTTGGAACAGCATACACTAACCATTTTACGAACACCTGGTATCATCAGTATCTGATGGTGATTCTTAAATACACGCCTTGTCTGAATCCTAATTTAGACACTTCTTTAGTACAGATATATTGTGGTTATGAAAATATATATATATATATATATGTGGGTGAATATGACACGGCGTCTGACATAAGCATATGTACAACTCACCAACGAGTTGGTTAAATTGGTCAGCAAAGCAAAAGGGATTATTATCAAAAGGTGATGATACCAGCAAATGGCAATCTAATGTTTCCTATTCCATTATGATTTGATTCAAGTTTGTTTTGTTTTTTTATTTATTTTTTTTTGTTGTTTTTTTTGTTTGTTTGTTTGTTTTTTTAAAATTATTCATTCAAAATCAGTAGATACATGTATACAAAGTACATGATGCAACAACACTTGTACACCGTAGAACAGAAATTCATATGGGTTGGCATTACAGATATTGGGATCTTCATTAGGCTGGGAATGTGTGCAGTAGAGATGACCATTTTCTGTCAAATTGTAATATGTTTTAATTCTTACTGGCAATAAACTTTTCTGTCTTGAAAATATCACTCAATATTCAAGTTTTATTCAATAATTTAATCTGTTTGATCACAACATATCGTGTCACCTGAGAGCCTATATACGAAAGGTACGTACGGTTTATTCTACAATAACTGTATTGTTCAAACCTCTCAAGGTTTTCGACTTTAACCCTCCCGGGAACAACTAGTGTTTTTTTCTGATTTTTAATGGTCCATTCAGATAAAGAACATCATGCTATTTTTGCTCTTTACGCAAAATGGAACCTTTTCCTGGAGATAGTAAAGACTGGGTATTCTTTTTATATTGACTATTTATACATATCTGCAACATCTATGCAACTTGGGCCTCACTGCGCAATCATGTAAAAATCGACAAATGTATAGACTGACGCATTTCAAGTACATTCACGTAAGGCGAAGGTACCTGACATCCATTTTATTCGCCTGGGACGTTCATGTATGGAGCAATTGGGGGCAAAACGTCATTATGTTTGTGTAAAAGTTGCACAGCTAGTTCAAGGGCATGGGTGGCGTTCTCTGCGACCACCGTGTTAGCCAGACTACGCGTCCACGTATTATGGTATGCCGACAATTTTGCGTATTCGTTGTCGATCAACACGTGAGGAATGTCCAATAAGGTACTGAGAATATGACCGTGTAGTCTGTCCGTGATGACAACGCGGCCACGTTGGAGAAATATCAACCCATTGTTAGCCATCAAGACGGCAGTTTCCATCGTTTTTTTACCTTTCGGCGTATACCATTTTATCCAGTCTGAACACAGTACTGTAATGTCAGGTGGTATAAGGGGCAATGTATATCTAGGTGATTCCACGTCCTCTCGTTTTAGCCATAGAATGTCAAACGAAGGGGAGATAAATCTTGGAACAGCACCAATCTGAAATGCCATGTCAGGAGCCATCATTAGATTTGGTTTACCTTTAAAGTAACGTTCTGCATATGCTAATGATTGTCTGTCTCGCAATATCATGGTAAAATTGTCTTTCTTCTGGTATAATTCTTGGCAGAACAGAAAATGCTTTTTCAAATCTTTCTTTAAAAATACACTTTGAGGGAATAACATCATTTGAAAGTTGGAAAAACGTTTGAAAAAATCATCACGAAGTATATCATGTGTAGGATATCCCACCAAATTCCCACCACCATGGAGTAAAACAATAAGGTCCTTGTGGGAGTAGTTTGTTGCCAGGGTTTGGATTCTGTCGAGTGTCTTGTTGGTACACCTGTAAGTACTGCAATAATACACAATCTTTATACCAAGACGTCTTAAGAGATACACTTCCCCAGTTGTTATAGCAGGATCCCCTTTATTTTCGAAAGCAGCAATATCTAAAAGAATTGCATATTTGTAGGGAGATAGTATATCAGAAAATAAATTAAACTGAATGCGCTGTGCCTCCTTGATAATGTCAATGGATGTTGTCAGCTTTGGGGAAAGAATATCAGTTTCTGTCGGTGTCTTTATCAGTTTAGTGTTGAGGAATTTGTCAACATTTGCTTTGTCATTGGGCACAGCAAAGTCTAAGGAAAAATCTCGAATGTAGCTCGAGAATGAAATTCCCTTAAAAGATTTTCCGTAGAACTCCCGAGTATCATCTCTTAAGACACTGCGTGTGACATGTCCATATTCATCGGCGACGTTGTGGTTTATTCTCACGTAGTTATGACTCACGCCGACGAAGCAAATGCCGAGGAGACATATTCCCAAGAAACGAAATCCAGCAGAAACTGAAATGTAACAAAGCTTAATATCAATGTTTTATCAGATTTTCATATTAATATGCCATAAGATTATTTTTTACGAACACGCAGTTCGTGTATGGTTTGATGGGTTTTTCTTTACATATAGTCCAAACAGTATGTATCTCACGTGTGGGTTCGAATCCCGGATGGGAGTCAACCCGACACAAGTACCAGAATATGTACTTTACTAACAAAGTGTAATCCAAAATATAGCATATATTCTATATATATGACACCCTTTACGCCAAGTGGAACCTTTTTTTACTAGGGATAGTGAAAACTGGGTATTCATTTGTACTGACTAGCTGTACTTACTTGTTTACATCTAAAATAATAATATTGTTTTTATCATCTAATGGAGGGTGTTATCGGTGCAATAAAGCAATCTGATAAACTTGGTATCGAAATCTCATAACTATGCAAATTACGTCAATCTACGAACTACTTTCACAAAACTCCATACACGCCATGCGAATCCTAAAACGTTTAACATTTCATTGATGACGTCGTCGCGAGTTTACATTGTTTGTGAACAAACATGGCTGCCTCCATTCTCAAAATTGGTGATTCTGTAAGAATTGATGACAGAGGTTCTGGAGTCGTAAGTGCAGTACATTGACTTTGGAAAAATGAAACGGAGTACTTCGTTTAAATTGAAGGTACGGATTATGAGGCACGACTGAAAGGCAATCGTCTAAGATAAGTACCAACCAAGGATTTGGATTTATCGATCACAATACAGACAACGAATCGATTCCGTCAGGTATAAGAAACTGATATTGATGAGGTGATTACCCGCAATGAAAATAGAAACACTGCCAGGAAAACCCTACCCGATTTTGTTGTTCATTTTAGACAGAAAGATCTTATTTAAGCATGAGTTATGTTTGCACTGTATTAGCGACTAGTCACAACCATATGCTGCCGTCATGAACGACCTTCACCTTGGTGTACCGCTAAGTATTCCTACGCGAATACTTGATTCTCTTTATATAAATTCACGTAGATTTTGCTTCTTTTTTTTTCAGGGTAATTTAAAGAATGATATTATATGATAAGAGATTATTAACCTCGTGTGTTTCCGTATCATTAATATCATATATTAGGAATAACAAAATATGTATTATACTCGCCACAGGCTCGCATAATACAATTTTTATTCCTATTATAAGATATTAATGATACGGAAACACACTCGGTTAATAATTTCTATATATTACGATACCTTCTTTATTCATCGGGTAATTCACGTATGGTTTATTGGATTTGTCTGTAATATTACTGTGAATGGGCGGGTATGGTTTCAAAAGGTTTAGTATTATTAACAACAACAACAGAAATAAGTTTCTCCATTGGGGAATCGAACCCGAGGTCTTCGGTGTTACGAGCCGACTCTGTATCCTACTTTGGCTGTTGTACGTTGAGTGTACGTTAATATTCATACACAAGTAGAAGAAAGAATACTGATGGCATAAAAACCTATGCTTACCTGATGAAGACATAATGAAGACTGATCCGTGTCCTGCTTTCTTGCTCACAACATACATAATTAAGCCAAAGGTACAGATGGCAAGCCAAAAGAAATTAGTCCCCATAGCTTCCCTCTTCCCAACTGAGTAAAGCAACAACACAACGAGGACCCTTTTGAATATGTTGGCGACAGAGTGACTGACCACTGACATGTAGAGCAGCACGACGTTGGTGGAAATGTAGGAGTAGACGACATGAAGGAAACTAGACAACAATGCTGTTCTAACCAGGAAGGAGATAGATGTTGAAACTAGGTTTCGAGAACTAATGAGTTCAAAGACAACAGCCAGGAACAGACAAACACCTGTAATGATGAGGACTACACCCTTTCGTCTCAGCTGAACTGTTTTAGATGAAGGATCCCCTTGTTCCAGTTTGATGGCCACGTTTCTGAATCCAAGGATTAAATTAGATAAGAGGGCCATTGCAATGCCAGCAAAAGACATTGTGGTGTTCAGAGACGTTCCACAGAAACCCACAGCGCCGCTTATGATGACTGGAAGGCTGAAATATGAAGACGCTGGAAGGGTCTTGCCTAAGACAAGGCACTGAATTATTGCGCTTGTTACTGGTTCCAGGAGCTTTATGGCGAAGGTAGATGACGCATGCACTAACGTCATACTGTAGTTTGTTGCCAGAGTAGCAAGACCGTGACAGATGACCTTCACCCATAAGGTTTTCTGTGCCTTTGAAGAGTGTGATCCACAGAGATATAGTTCAGTAAGTAGGCAGCACATTGTAACCTGACATAGCGTAATGATGATCGCCCACAGGATCCCACAATCCAGGACAGTGTTTGATGTTTTCAAGAAGAGCCTAGCAAACTGATGGCACAGGAACGAGGTAATGGTCCACCCCAAAAAGGCTATGGCTCCAAAGGTGATCTTTCCCTGTAAAGAAAAGACAATATCTCTATTTAAACGATTCACAAGATTGCATACAACAGATTAAGCCATATCTCCAACTGGAGTATACATATAACATAACGCATAAAAAGACAATATACGAGATATCAGAATAAGGTTTGCTCTAAGGGTCTAACATAAATCATGTTCTAAAATAGTAACAGTAATGGTCTTATCGTAAATAGCTCGAATTAGTGGATAACAGGAAGTATACAATGTAAACGGAAGCACTCAAATGTAGCATAAAGCATCGTCTAAGAAATAAATAACAGTAACAATGTTACACATAACTATTCAATATAAGAAAAGCAAGATTTATGGATGTCAACCGTCAACTAACGATTCAACGATCTAAAAATATATGAATATCAAAAGCACTGATACTGGCTGGGATAAATGATTTTACAAGATAAAAGTAACTATACTACGAAATGCACATCACTTAACAGATAACAGGTATCGTTGTCAAGACATAAGAAACATTCGTGTGGTAGGGGGAACTATACAAAAATTACTTAGCTGTCATGAAAAGCTCTGATACCAGCTGGGATAAATGACCTGTTTGTTATAAATATTAGCAGTTGCAGGTGGCGCTTTGAAGGTTAAATGTAAAATTCGCTGAACAAACACCTGTGGTTCAAACTTACTTTTCGAGCAAACTATTAAAAAAGTTAAGTCTTGGGAATCATTGATCCAATGATCAACTTTGAACTGACATAAACGTCGCACACAAAAACTTTTGTTGTACTTTCTTTATTCAGTATTGTCAATGAGTTATGTTTTTTTCAAGAGGCTTAGATTTGTTGGAATGAATCCAGATGTGTAAAACCCAAGACTTTGTTTGAGGGATTTGTAGGAATGGCCATTTGCCCCATGGTACTGTGTTTAACTGTCTCATCACGATTGTTCTCGAAGCCAAAAGACATGTATGAAGTGCAAATGCTATAAATATGCCGTTCTTTGGATGAAAGGGTGATTGAACATTTCTGAGGAATCTGGCTATTATTCCGTTTGGGAAGTATTCATTCCTTTCTATATGCCACATATATCACATACGTACTTTTGGGACCCAAAGTTTTGTACACGAATTGTTGTCTGCGACATCACACAAGATCCTGCGCATTACTGGTATTCCCGAATTGTTACATCCATTTCTAAATTTCGACATATTCTTACTATAAGCACCGCAATCCGCATTTCGTAAGATGATATTCTGATGTTACTTTTTTTGTTTGTTGGCAACTTCTTTGAGGGTCATTTTACAAGTTGGGAAGTACAATATAGACAAACGTTATCGATAACAACTTGTCTATTTCGTGCGTACGACATCGCGATACAGATTCTTGAATGTCATTCCTGGTTGACAACGGTACAAGAGTCTGTATAAAACGAAATATAAGGAGTTGTTATACATAAGGTTTATCTGTATGGTTTGGTGGCAGTAGAGATTTGTATTTGAAATGATTGTCAGAAACAGGAATTATTGAAACGCACGTACAATATGTAGTGTTGAAGAGGCCAGGTTGTTCAGGAGCAGCATGATGGCGATTTGCGGTATTTTACGACCTGGCCTGCTCTCCTCTACTTGCTCAATGCCAGTTGGATTGTTCTCTGGCAACAATTAATTCAGTTGCAGATTTTATGGTTCAAACAAAGAATATATTTCTGATCATATATCGCCATTCACTGATTTCACTGTTTCATTCTGTTCGAACTGAAATTACCTCGAGGTTCTCAATATTTCTCAGCATTATAACGATTTATTGCATATTGTTTCTCGCCCTGGTGAAATACAGACACGAAACATCATTGTCGCCATCTTAGGTGCAGGTTTTCGAAATTGAATATATTCAGGGCACATATCTTTACATATACATTCTGAATTCAGTACAGTTTTCCGAATGGTAAACGTTGTGCGGGTATTAGCTGCACACAGACATACTGCATTGTTTTATGTGGCATATCTACTCGGAGAACGAAATTCATGTGCTATCTTTCTCTGTGACATACGTCCCTTACGCCAGGACAAAGTTTCCCCCCAAATTGAACACTTTAAACATTAAAGTTAGGATTTTCCACACCGATAACATGGACCTTCTATGTGGTCCTGCTCTACTTTATATAGAATAAACAGACTGCGACAAACTAGACTAATAACATGCGTGCGCTGTAAGTAAGTTGCTTGTACACGCTTGGGGCCAATATATAACGAATACAATGTCTGTTTGTGATACTTCACTGACGCAGAACTGAAAGGTATTACATGTGCATTCATATTGCACATACTCGTAATGCCATAGAGTTGAAGATTAAAAGTATGTTTAATATTATTAAAATTTCATCATTGCCATCTGTGTACATAACCTCCTGCCTGAAAGGATTCTGGATGAATACATGTAGTTCAATATATACTAGGCACATAAAGAAACTGTGCATACAAAAATTTAAAATCTTAATTTATCAAACCTGTGTAGACACATAAGGATTTAAACTCAGAGATAAGTGACATGTATCCAACATGCATGCACGTGCCACGTTCCGTGACGTCAGTGGGTTCGTCCTTGAGACGTGCAATACGTTGTTGCACGTGCATTCCGGGAAAAAGAAACAGAGCAAATGAATGTGACACAAAACTGTCACTTTGGAAAGCTCAACCCCTGCCCTTGCGATCGTTCAAAAAATTAAACGGCTATTGAAACGCATAGCATGCCAAGGCTCACGTCTGCACAACGTCATGAGGCCATTGGGATGGTCCGTGGGGGAATGTCTCAACGACAAGTGGCTGCACATTTCCACTGCCACCGGAACACCATTTCTGCACTGGTGAGATGCTGCCAGAACACAAATGACGTCATCGATCGGCCACGTTCTGGACGTCCACGTGTAACAACGCCAAGACAGGACAGATGGATAAGGGTGACCCATCTTCGCCACAGGTTTCAGACTGCAGTCCATCCCAGGACTTCGCCGTATCCACCCCAACACAGTTCGACAACGTTTACGTCATCACGGGATCAGACCACGACGTCCCGCCATACGGCCTATCCTGACACAACGTCATCGACAAGCTCGCCGAATGTGGTGCCAAAATCATGTCCGCAGACCCTTGTTTTGGTGGAGAAATGTTGTTTTTACAGACGAGTCCAGGTTTAACATTTCAACGTGCCTATAGACGCGTGGGAGAACGTTATGCACAGGCCTGTGTCTTGGAGAGGAATCGCTTTGGTGGTCGTTCCATGATGATTTGGGGTGGAATAACAGCACGCCAAAGAACTCCTTTGGTGATTGTTCAGGGCAACTTAACTGGTGTGGGCTACAGGGATCAGATTCTTCGACCTGTGACAATTCCTTTTCTGCAACGTCATGGCCCTGGGTTAACATTCCAACAGGACAGTGCCCGCCCTCATACGGCAAGGGTTGCTATGGATTTCTTGAAACACCACAACGTTGACTTACTGCCTTGGCCTGCAAATTCACCGGATCTCTCCCCGACAGAGCATGTTTGGGACGAGATGGATCGACGTCTACGCCGTCTTCCTCATCCGCCAGATAACGTCCTTTACCTTGCAACAGAACTTGAGAGAATCTGGCGTGACATCCTACAAGCCTTCCTTGCAAGTTTGATAGGCTCTATGCGTCGTCGATGCACTGCTGTTCTCAATGCCGATGGTGGACATACCCGTTATTGAGCTTGTGACATGGTCGTTTGACCCCTGACTCGTGACGTCTTTGTGATTGACTTTTCAATTGAAATTCTCCCGACTTGTTATGGTCTCGTGATCCCTCCATTAAAGTTTATATATACCTTTGACATTGTTATCGTACTTATCAACTGGGATAATATTTTGACAATGCACAGTTTCTTTATGTGCCTAGTATATAAGCCCGTACATGGCAGTAATTGGGAGCGTAGCATGGGTCAAACATGGAATGGAAGATTGAAAAGTTTAATTCAAATTTCATCATTGTCAACTGTGTAAATAAACTCCTGTTTTTGTTTTGTTTTAAGCTCCCTGTTCAAACAACATAAAAAAAATATCAAGAACTGAAATCAAGAAGCACTGTATAAATACGGCTGTGGCTTTATAAGCGAAACAGCAAATAATGTAATCACGACATCATCACCAGATGTTATATGTCTGTAACAACGATCTCGAATCAGTGGAAACGTAATTCTGGAATTGTTTGTGTTTGTCTGGACCATCAGTGTTAACACTTTTGTCTATGTCAGTACGAACTTTCAGGCGATTCCACAGTATATATGAACTGTTCTTTCTCGTTACCCTCACAGGTGGGTGGAACACGACAGTGTGTTCTGCAGAACATTTTACAACACGTGTTCTGCACGTAATAGATTGATGCTGTGAGTCCCATCGAGACACAACCTCACAACCACACCTATGGGAAGAAAATTAGATGATCTATGGTATTTTCTAAGATGCTTCGGTAAAAGATCAAAGCGCCGACAGAACTTTATCAGAAGATAATGTGCACTTTTTGCATTACGTCACAATGTATTGGCGTCACTGCGCCATTCTAGTCTAGCCCCTCGTAATCGAACACTTTTGCATTACGTCACAATGAAACCAGCGTCACGATGCATGTCAGTTTGTCATCGCCTCGTGCAGCCTCTTACAGTAAACTACTCCGTTGCTCTAAATGAAGCCCTTTTTTCAGGCACTCCCACCATACTCTCTTTATCAGTGTTTGGTTTAACAACACCTTGGGCCGAGCTGTCAAGAGCTCCTTGAACATCATAGATGTTTCATGAAAGGTATTTACATGTATAGATTAGGATCACAGACAGCCAGACAGACAGACAAAAGTTTATTTCAGTCTGTACCATCTACCTAAATACCACTTTGTAATGTTACAAAATATCACATGAAAAGATAACTGGTCCTTTAAAGTAAAGCCCTTTCCCCTCTACATTCCAAAAACTGCCCCAACCAATAGAGTTTCTGTTCGGTCTGATTGTGCCCGAGCTGTCAAAGACAGCTTCAATGTCACAGATATATCCTGGATGATGGAAGAATGGTTTTATGTCTGAAGTGACCCTCCTATTTTCCTTACGTATTCACCTTTATAAACAAACTTCTAGTTTGACCCGTGGTGAGGATGGTGATAATGATGTCCACTTGCTATGATTCGGTCTGGTTTCCTATCATCCAAATGCCTTTCCTCTCAGCGAACAGCATTTCCAAAGAATCACGAAGACGGATCACATTTTAACATATCTGAAATAATACATAATAATGGTGATAATAACAAACCTGATCTTGTCCTTTTTAACAAAGCCAATGAATCTGTATATCATTGAATTTTCTGACAGCAACGTGATTGGCAACGTAAATATGCGGGCCTCGCCTTTGAAATGTCAAGTACACTGTCATCAGGTTCCCCATTTTTCTCGGTGCCCTTGGTTTGGTACTTCCTGATCTCTTGGCGCAGATCAGGAGAGTGACCGGTATCTCCACCGGGAACCCAGCCCTTCTGACACTCTGGGTAATGCAGAAGGCTGCAGTGTTGGGAGCCTTCATATTCTCCGGAAAGTTCTTGGTGGGTTCTATAAGGCAGCGTTTCCTGGGAGAAGTCCCATTCACTGTCTGAACATTTTTATTTTATTTAAAAACTGAATGGATTTATGCAATTATAATAATGGTGAAGCAATTGGAAACGAATCATACACAGACATAATCTCCTAAGCAGGAACCGGCGTTAAACATTTGCATAGAACGTTGTGTATTGTTTTGCAATATAAGACAAGACAAAGATTTTCATAATGCATGAAGGCCACAAGGCCATATACATATAACATAAACATGCACTCAGTCATTTCATTGGAGAAGCAACAATAACAAGTCCATTGAGTCATTGCATAAAGGAAGGAATGAAGTGTCCAGTATTCGATCACAGATGTAAACAAAAAACACAGGTGGTCAGCATCTGGTACATCCACCGTGGACATCAATGCAAGACCTAACACTACGACGTGCTGAGAACGTCAGACGCCGTGTACCTTGGGCAGGGATCCCTCTTGAAGGGCTTACAATTGGCTGACGTCGGTTTCCAGGCACAACGGCTCTAGCACAATCTGATGATCCAAAGGGTCCCACAAGTGTTCAAGTGGTGACAGGTCAGGTGACCTGGAGGGCCAAGGAAGCACATTGATGTTGTTTCTCTGTAGAAAATCCATGACAATATGTTCTGTACGAAGACGGGCGTTGTCCTGCTGAAACATGACCTGGTTACGGCGTTGACGTAGGAATGGTAGCACAACCGCCCGAAACCATCAAACCGCAGGTCGCTGCAACACCAGTGGCACCCATATGACCATTCCAATGGCTCTCTCTCTGGATTCCTGCGATAATCGGGACATGGTCGCTGAAGTTGACTTGAAGGTCTGATGTCGAGGAAGGTTTGTGTGCACTCTTATACCCCAAAGATGCACGTGCTTCATGCAAGCCGTTCACGGGATTGTCCATGCTTCACGACCTGTTGCAGTGATACTGTTCGCCCAAACACAACATTTTTCATGACAAATGTTATGGAAGCGTTGTGGCGATTGTTTTAAGCGCATAACTACCTACAAAATGACAGTTCGAGTCCAAATTTTGATAATATATTTTGGTATCGTTTCTTTTGCTCGTTAGTTTATATACAATCCAAATATATTGGATGCATAATATAAAAACATATAAGCGTTTAGCGTATAAGTCTGTCTCTTTTTATAAGCAGTATACATGTAGTATATGGATTTAATAATGATTCATAACATTCAAGTTAACATGCTTTTGAATATAATATATTTGGAATTCGATTATAAAGGTGGAAAATAACGGAATCTTCTTCAGAATAATAATTACATGCTAAAAGAAAATGGAATTCATCCTCTATACCGAATTTACAAACAGGACATGTGTGTAGAGATACATCGATATTTAGGCATCTTCCTTCATTTATATAAATCTTAATAAGCCTGCTGGGAATTTTATAAGAAACTTACTATATTTAATTTCATGTAAAACACTTACATTTTTCAGGTTCTAACAAGATTTATATTCAAGATTCTTTATTCAGTTTCAAAGGCCTCCAGCCAAGAGTACATGTATATATATGCTATAGAGTCAAGTCACAATGTATATCATAAACATTTATAATGGTTGTCACCAGAATAAACTTCATGAATGAAAGCCAACAATTGGTTAGACCTACTTGGGTTGTCAGTCAAGACGTGATGAGGTAATTTTACGACGATGTCGTATTGGCCACAGTCGGTTTACTATGGAATCCTGGAAGGGACATTGTCGCGTTGTCGGATTGTCGCGTTGTCGCCCTCTCAAATACAAGCAAAATGAGGCAAAATTAACCAAAACGCGACACGCGACACGCGACATCGCGACAACGGGTCGCATTGTCGCGATGTCGCGATGTCGCGTGTCGCGTTTTGAATAATATTTTTTTTATTCCTCCAAAGGGCGACATCGCGACAATGCGACAAATGGGCGAAATGTCGCGTTGTCGCGATGTCGCCTGTCGCGTTTTGGTTTAATTTGCCTCACTTTACTTTACGTTTTTGAGAGGGCGACAATGCGACATAGCGACAATGTCCCTTCTCGGATTCCATAGTTTACTCATGACTATCTGCTGAAAACGGATGGGGATGGACCTCACATGTGTGTCTCTTGCGATGAAGTGTTCACCATCAAGCATATTCTGCTTGACTGTGTGGACTTTTCGACTGCAAAGAATGCACATTATGATGCGAGAAATCTTTAAGATCTGTTTTGCCGCGTGAGCGGGCATCTGATTGTAAACTACCCGAGGGAAGTTGACCTGTAACTTTTAAAGAGAATAACAAATTGCTTGCTTTTTGTATTTGGTGCTATGACATTTTCTGTTTTGAAATAGAAATGTAATGAATATATGTTTTAAAATATAACTCTTTTGGACCTTGGACTTAAAATGGTACTGAATGGAAACTTGATCTCGTCACTATATGGCTGGAATAATGCCGATGTGACGTAAAGCCCAACTCAACTCAACTCAACCAGAAGTAAATGAAGCGTTGGTAAAATTGTCAGTTGTCCCCTTTAGTTGTTAAAGAACAAATAAACTTTGGTTTTTTTACTCTTTTAACTATTACATATGAAAGATTTGTGGTCAGTCTTACGCGGAACACCAATTTCATTCTTTAAAAACTTGTGGTTAATTAGTACCGAGCGATTAAAAGTTGCCAAAAGTCGCCTACTTCACTCTCGCCCGCATACACGAAACCACAGACAGGTTACGTAACTCTGTCGCCAGAGCACTGCAGTGACGTCATATGAGGAAGGATTTTCAGTTAGTTGTATAGAAAGTGTGCAGCAAGCTCGTCATTTTGATGATTTCTCGACATCAACGAAGACATGCCAAATCGTTGCGTTGTCGTCAATTGCTCCTAGGGTCGGGCGATGGTGTCACCATGCACAGATTTCCACAGGACCCCGCAGTTCGTGCAAAATGGGTTATGTTTGTGAGTGCGAAGCGAGCGTTGTGGAAGCCTGAAACGATATCTTACTTGTGTTCAAATCGCTTCACGGAAGTTAAAGAATCAACACTACTTACTAATCGTAGTAAAATATGTATATGATTGATGGCCATAAAGATTTTCCATGACACAACTTGTAACATAACGATTTCTGCCTCAGAATCGAGGTTGTGGTCGAAGTAACAATAATACTGTAAGTAGTATTATATGACACCCACCTCGCTTCCACGAGAGAAATTGTTATGTTATACGCTATGTCATGCAAAATCCTATTATTATCAATCAAATACATATTTTACTACCAGTAGAAAGTAGTTTTGATTTTGTAACTCGGTGAAAACAAACCTAAATAGCATTTATCCTCAGACTGGCGGATGTTCGCGACAGGGCGCCGCCATTTTTGAAAATCGTGAAGTCACGGGCTAAAGTCTGTTAGAATTAATGAGATTATGGTGTGTTTTCATCAAGTTAGAAAATCAAAACTACTTTCTACTCGTAGTTAAATATGTATTTGAATCATAACCAAAAGCATTTTGCATGACACAACTTATAACATAACGATTTCTTCCACGGAAGCGAGGTGGGGGTCGAAGTGACAATACTGCGCTATAAATTTCTTGCTACATTCACGTGGTTAACGTGCACTCACCAGTATGTAGATACTAGTCAATGTACGTCTTTATATTTGGTCTTATAATCCTAATTAGTTTATTATCATACTTGTATGCATTTTGAAACTAAATAAAAAGCAGACGATCTGCTGATACTTATAGTGCATTTATAACAGGACTGTAATATCTAGACAGTTTATAGTTTGCCAATGTGAATCATAATTCGCACACACGCCCTAGTGTATGTCTCATTACACTTCACGGCGAAAACAACGATTCTGTTGAATGCTACGACAAATGAATAAAAACAAAATGCAAATATTAAAATTAAAACAGATTAAATTTATAGGAACAATGTCAGGCTATTACCTTGTTCGAGGAATGTATCCATCAATATCCACAAAAACGAGTGATATGCCATTCATCTGCAGCTGTTTCAAGTAATGTGTCTTTTAACAGTCTAGTATACGAAAAAGTGATATATCGTTTCAGGTATGTCACATTGGTGTATAGTCTCATTGGTCACCCAAGATAGAGATAGCACACCTGGCAACTGATTGCATAATGTCCGCCATTCTTTAAAAACGGTAATTTAGTTAGCCAATAATGAGCAATCAATCACTGTATTGGCGGTTAATCCTTTGAAAGAAGGACGTTGTTTTTACGCAGACACAGACACGAAAGAGTGTATTCAGTATAGATGAGTAAATCTACATACATAAACACTACATTTTGACAAATCCGCTGTGTAAGACAAAAGTAATTAATCAATCAGCGTGTTATCGGTTAATCCTTTGATCGATGTTTATAATGTTGAATATTTACTCCAGACAAAAGAAATGCCAAATGGGAACCTTTGTCGGGTAATCTAAGGGTTTTACCACTAATTATACCTGTTATAAATTCATTAACTGACCATCAAGTGAATGATGACAAATAACATGTGTAGGTTTATACCACCTAACACGGGTTACCTTGAAAGTTATCTATTACACCCCCATTCAATGTACGCATTTGGCTTACCTATATTATAACTTGTAACCATAAACTTTCAATAGAAACAGGTAGATGGTATAATATTATTAAAGAAGAAAGA